AAAAAGAAGTGTAAACAGGAAAGCCAGCCGGGCCTGGAGTTCCAAGTGCCCATATTTCATTGGCTTCCTCTCCATAACTGTGGCAGGGACACTTAACCCTTCCCTGGCTGTGAGAAATTATTCTCTGAGGGCTGGTGGGCAGAATGGGAAGATCTGAGAGGAAGCTCCTTTCCCCTCCTGGTTCCTTTATCCCTGGGATCTGCATGGCAAGGATTCAGAGCAACGAAGACAGAGGGCTCAGCACAACCCTCCAAACTCAGTCCCTTCCTGGGACTACTCCTCCCAGCACAGACTTTTCAGCTTGGGGGACCAACCTGGCTAATCCTGAAAGACAGGGCTAGCAAGAATGAGCTCCCCCCTTTTAAGGGAGAGGGCATTGGTAACCCTTCCCATTTTTGGAGTTTCTCAAAGAGTAATCGGATTTTGAGGCTGGGATCTGCCCACAGCAAGATTTATCGATTGCTGCAGCACTGTTACACATCCATATTAATTAACCCAGACACCGCCTGGAAATCGAGCTGTTTGGGGAGGGGAAGGGAGAAATGGGGGCCCCTTAAGGAGAATGGATATTTCTCCCTAAGTGACTCTGAGGTTGAGATTGGAGGGACCTCTGCACATGAATCCTGTGGCCCTCCCCAGGCTTGAACCCCCTGGAGTTCTCAGCAAGGGTAAGAGTGACTTAGTCTCCACAGTCATCTCCACACACAAGGCTCATGGTGGTAGTGGTGGGAGATCAAATACCTTGCAGGTTGTTCCGCAGGTCCTACCCCACTCTTCCTTGTCTCTGGCGGGTTTCCCCAGCCCGGTAATGCTCTGTCTCCAGCAGAGGTGAGCCAGCATCCTTCCTAGAGGGGTTAACCTCCCCCCGCTCACTTTCCTTTCAAGTTCTCAAAGGTAGAAGCTTATGATGGTTTTCGAGTTTGGTTTGTTTTATTTTGTTTTAGAGTCCTGTTTGTTGGTGGTAGTGATAGTCTTGTGGCCTTCTGCTTTCTCCTCCCTCCCTCCAAAAAGTGATTAAAATCTGTTAAAGGATTTAATTAAGAGAGTTAAATGAAAAGGAAGGAGGCGCAAATGAGTTGGGGGAAAAAACCCACACCAAAGCTATTCTCAACGATTAAATCGCCATTTTAACAATATAATGGAGTTTGCATCCTGAAAGGGGAA